TAGAAGGCAGCTGTCCAGTGGCGTGTACCTGTATATTGGATGTGAAATACAAGATTAAGGAAATAATGTGATTAGAACAAGGATATAGATGACAATCTTCATCAGATTGTTTCAAGCGTACCATGAACTATTCAGCCTATGGTTCTGGTTGCACATAGGGGGATTATTTTCTTTACGATTCTCATAGCAGGAAGATGAATCTGGCTTTTGATATATAACTAGCCCGACTCTAGCTCTTTTAAAGTAGGTCTTCGTCACCATCTTCCAGCACATTGCTTCGGTCAGATTAACCATAACTGCAAAGAACAAGACAGAAAATCATGCTACCAAGCATAAAAAATACAGAGTAACTCAGTTCCAGATTAAATTCACCATTACAACTTCTGTATTTCTTTTCTTTAAGCTTTCCTCTTGCAGTCATTTTCTAGATAATTCACCGACAACAAACAGAAAGAACATAGAAAAAACTAAGTATCAATGAGCGAGAACCTTTCCAGACATTCTTATGTCCTTCATCTTTCTTATAAACTGGAGTTGCAGACCATATGAAGTACCCTCCTGGCCTAAGAATCCTGTTGAGCTCCATCAATGGTTTTCCTCCTGCAGTTCTCAATTAGTTACCATGTCGACAACGTAGATGGTAGAAGGACCTTAAATTTTGAGAATAGTCATTTACCATCTGCATGCCAGTGAACCCTGCATCTTGCACAATGAATCATATCATATGCATTATCTGGAAATGCAAGCTTTTTAGTTGCAATGACTGAGAGAGTAGCAGGGATTCCACGCTCGAGTGCAAACTGTATCTGAGCCTCATGTTCATCCTTTGGAGCAAATGACATGGTAATGACATTTTTATCCAGCAAATAACCGCCAAAGCTAGCAACACCACATCCAACATCTAAAACGACCCTTATATTCTTTCCCCATTCAATTGTTGGAAAAGTCTGAATAAAAAGCAAGAAGGAACTCAGATTAAAGAGACACCATGAGAACATTAGCAATAGGAAAGCTAAAATGAACACTAACTACTCGTTCTTCCACATCTTCCTGAATGATCAGAACTCAAATTAATCACACAAAGAATTCAATTTCATATTCCTGCCTTTTCAGCACAACATCCCTCATTAAAGACACAAAAATTCTAGGAAACAATGAAATAAATAGGTATTAGAGCGTGTATAAATCCATTAACAAAGCAAATTAGAGACTGCACCAGATAGCTAGTATCAGTGTAATTAGCATTTTAGTTTTTTATGGTTACCAACTGCATGAAGTGTATTCATTAATAATTAGTAGAAACTGTTAAAACTATACTCAATCTCATGAATCAGTAAGGAACAATGATGTAATAGAGATCGATTTGAAGAGCAAAGGAAACTATAATCTACCAAGGTACAGTCATTCACCTGCATGTACATATAACAAATATTATGATCAGGGGAAAGGAATTTGCTTTGCTTTGACACGTCTAGGAGTTCTTTTTTGAAACTGCAGGATATGAAGTGTCTCTTCCTCAAGGGTGAAGCCCTCCTAACTTAATATCACGAAATATCGCTTCTACTGATTAACTAGAATTTGAAAGACATCAATGTACAGATATTAACAATGAATATTACATTCATTAGATGATTGCTTTAGATGAAAATTAAAAGCAACACAATTGAACAGAAACAAACATATATTGTAGAAGATTGTTGCTTGGGGTGTTGAAGGACAAGAATGCAACAAATAAACAGAGTACCTTTTCAATGAATTCGATGTAGTGATTTACTCCATCCTTGAACTGTGTTCCACCTCCAGGAAAAACAAAATAATCACCAGATTGTTTTACCCAATTTTGCTCTTTCTTATATTCCACAAGCTTAGGATGAGGAACATTGCCATACCATATCTATCGCGCAAAAAAAGAGAGAAAGAAATGAGGAACAGAACATAAATAGTATGACGAGTAGAAAGTGATGCTCTAAGTAAACAAAATTAAGCTTTAGCAAATTTAGAAGTTGCTCCATTTACATAAACAGAAAAACAGTTATTTGGAACTATAATTAGTAACTTCCAAAAACCAACTCAAACCATATCTAGCTCCATGTAAGATTCAAATGTCAGTTGAGACAAAAATACTGGTAATTTCGTTTCATCTACCTAAAGAAATTTGATGGACAGAGTTAGCAATCGAGTTACATTAATTGTTAGTATTAAAGAATAAAGGTTAAGGCAAATAAAAAATCATATCTACAACGCTTTAAGTTCCAACCTACAGCGATCATAAAACCATTGGTTTACAAAATCCCATTAATTATCATTTAAGCAAAGCACCAAAGGGAAGAAAGAAAACAAAAATCTTACCACCAAAGAAGTGAAAATCTCACCATGTCCCTGCTCTTAGGCCACGAAACCGGCAACTTATAACCAACCGGCAAAGGAATCAAACACCTGGGACTAGGTACAGGGCAATGCCTTTCCCTATGCTCCATATGCCTTCTTGACCTTATTGCCTTTATTGCTTTCCAATTATCAAGGCACGGTATGTAATCAACCGCCACGGGACCCGGACACAGCTTCCAATCATAAGAGAACGTTTCCAATTCATTGTTGATTAATGTATCAGAATCAGTATTGATCGTATAATTATTATCCAGCGGGACGTTAGACTCAAGGTTGATCGTAATATTATTACCCAGCGGGATGTTTTCGTTTGAAATAGTGTTAGGATTCAAGTCCGGATTATCAGCAGGGATTGATGATTTGGATNCCACCTCCCCTTTCCCCTCCCCCCTCTATTCTACCACATTAATGAAGTCAAGCATTTTAATTTTTTTTCTTCACCATTTCTTTTTCTTGTATATGCTCCTTCTAATTTTAACGAAGTGAATAAAATTGTCAACAATCAAGCTCGAAATATATCACATCAAAGTGTAAATTTGGGTATCATTTTCGCCGGCCAAACACAAAAAAGGCAGAAGGGATAGCGGTTTTCGTTGCATTAATGGGGTCAAGTCATACCCATTGTTTCTGCTTTTACAAAAGGTTAGCAAATGCATTGAATAGGATAAGAGTAATTTTTCTTGAAGTTGTACTGATTTTTCTTTTATTTTGATATTGGGTTTCAAAATTGGACTCTGATTTTTTTCTTTCTTCTTGGTATTTTTCCGATTCTGATTTTGTCGACATTGTGAAGTCCCACTTTGAATGGATCAGATTTGGAGTTTTACCNCTCTGGCCAGAGAGATGAGTAAAAAAACGATGACGTGAAAAAACGTAATGCTAATTCAGCATATGCGAGAGAGAGCGTCAAAAGTCCAAAGGCGGAAAAAACGAAAATGATGATTTTGAAATATGGTTAGAGATTACAAGGATCTGGGGTGTGAGGAGGCCACACAAAGGAGGCAAATCTGTTATCATTATTGTTTTTTAGGGGAAATGACTGTCATGACCACTTAAACTTGTACCCGTTTGCAAAGCCGATTCATTAACTTGCACTTTTTCCATTTGAACACTCCAATTTAACGGAATGGTACTAATAAACATCTTTGACCGTTGACTATGCCTATTTAGAATCAGCGCAACTAGCATGGCTAAATTGCAAATCACGCTGCCAATGCGTGTGGATAGTATTGTTTTTATTAATATATATATATATATATATATATATATATATATATATATATATATATATATGAGAATCAGATTAAAATATTAATGAAACAGAAAAAAAAAAAAAAAAAAAAACATTCCCCTTTCCCCTTCTCTTTTCCCCTCCCTCCCACCTCTCTCGTCTTTGCTACCAAACTCCCACCTCCCCTTTCCCCTCCCCCCTCTATTCTACCACATTAATGAAGTCAAGCATTTTAATTTTTTT